AATCCAGAACTACCATTTCTTGATTATTTGATGGCAAAAACACCCTACTGCCCATGTAAATTCATGTTTCACTTTTGCATATTCAGAACTCATGATTCATTTTTGCGAATTTTTTTTCTTGATGCGTTTCAGAATGTTTATTTCTATATTGCCATTTTCATTCTCACAGCCTCATATGTGTAACTGAGATTAAAAATGGCAATATAGATGTGTTTGAACTGAAGCAATCTTATCATTTTCGCGAAAAACACAAAAAACCACTTTCATAATTCACATTTTTTATGTTATGATTCTATACCGACGATCCATGTAACGTTTTTAAGAAAAAAAATTCATGTTGCACTTCAGTTAAAACACTTCTGTATTCATACTTTTATTATCAATAACACATATGACGATTTAAAATTTTTAGTAATGGTTTTTTTCCTCAAAAACGAAGATAAATTTAAATATTTAGTCCAAAAAAATGATGGGTTGGTAGAGAGGTTCATGGATCATTTGGTCCAATTCGCTACACCAAACTGACAATGTCTGTGGAATGATCTGACATGTGGCGAAACTAGGTGATGGCCGAAGAAGATTTATCAAAATAAATATATACCAACTTGACATTCGCAATGCATATTCGCTACATAGCTCAGTTAGCTGATAGTACATATTCCATGGACTAGGTGCGTTACCAGCGCAAACAAATGTCAAAGTATATGATTTATACACAACACATTTTCAGTTTGAATACATTTACATTGGAGAAAAAGTAATGAAAAATGGAAATCCGGAAAATTGTTGTTATTCACATTACTTTTCGGAAAATAAAATAAAGTAAACTTAGAGTGGTGAAAATCAGTCAATTTGTTCAGCCTGAACGATCATTTTATAAACATGATTTGAATGGTTATTGTTATGAATTTCTTACGTTACAGTAAGTTAAAATTCGTTCAACAATAAACGCAGATTCCAAGGAAAATATTTACTGATTTTATATAAATTTTTGCATGGATGTTCCAAAAGAATGTAGTTTTCGACTTCTGCAGACATTATGTGAAATTATTTTGTATTTTCATGGAAGTTCCAGAGATTTCATATTTTATACAATGGGCCATTTGGTCCACGAACCTTTAAGCGTAACTTTTTTCTGAAACTTACAGTAGGGCTAAATAAAATGTAGGCAAAAAGGGTAATAAGTTAAATGGAAAAATAAGTTATTTCAACACCTATAATTCAATAAACATTTATCATTCAACTTTTTAATTACGCATTTTTGGTATATCAACTGTCATTATTGGTTTTTATGAATATTTCCATTGGATTGAAATCAAATCTGTTGAGCGCTACCAACAGAAGTGAAGGACACACTTTTTCAATTTGTTTATGTTATCAACTGTTGAAATATTTGATTCAATGTTGAATCATTTAATTTGATGCCATGCGTGAAAAATATATCATATCCATTTTTGCGAGATATCTGTTTCTTATTAGTAAAGAGATGATGTTAGTTAGTGGAAAAGTGGAATACAGTACCCGTCTTACCTATCCGCTTTGGATCCTTTAAATCTGGTTTTGGTTCAGTGTATGGTTTTAGTTCATCTTCAAACTCATATCCCATATTCATCCATTTATCGTGCATAATTGCTTCTAAACTAGAACGTTTTGTTGGATTCAGTACAAGGAATTTGCGGAGTAAGTTTTCACAGTCAGTTGACATATAAAATGGAATTCTAATTATGTGAAGAAAAGGGAATAAATGAAAAATTGTTATGAAGTAGTATATTTTTCTAGTTCTCGAAGGTGTATTTTCGATTCAGAACGAATAGTCAAAACCTCGATTTTTTCAATGGTTAGTCATAGGTTCTGACTAGGGCACCCGGCCGCTCTCGAGGCTTGAATTCGCTTTTACCCTTTCAATTTTTCCAAAAAGTTTGAAATCAGGCTACCCGATAATTTCAATATTTTTGTAAAAAATTTATACATTTTATGATGCTAGAATTACTGCTTTCGTTATTCAATTTTTGGCTCATTTCAATTTAACGAAAAAGTTCAAAGTTCATGTGCCAGTGAACGAAGCTTATGACTTCGTTTTTGTATGATATTCTTATTATTCGTTTTTATATTTAAATGCTAGAACTTCTGCAAATAACCTCGTGCAGCTTGGCGTCATTTCCTCCACTTTCATATAACGTATATTTTTGCATTGATGTTCGAACTATAACAAGTGAGCTTCTACAATGGACGTCAAATGCGAGTGGGGACGCCACAAAAATGACTCCAATCACCACATCGAAATTCGCGCTCCCCATCACTTAATTTGCACTATGTGATAAATACGAGTGACGTCACCGAAAAATATTGTATGAAAGAGTGCCCCACGAAAAATGTTCAATTTGAATCGCCCCGTTAAAAAAAAATCCAGTAAAAGTGGTAAATGAAATCAAATTCACGTGATGTTTATTCAGACAATATTTTTGAGGGGCACTTTTACTGAAAATTTTTTCAGGGGCACTTCATTTCACAAAAGAATCACGTTTCATTATTCCGTTTGCCGATCCAAATGTCAACTCTCTACTGATTTAATCTGGACTTGGGATTTGATTTTCTTAGAATATTTGGGAATAATTGGGAATTCGGCCGATTTGCGGATTTTTTACGCTCTAATTTCTCGCAAAATATGAAAATTGCAAAATACAATTTTCTGAAACCCAATGCGAAAATCCCAATTATGCATTAATTTCTTTTTACTTTTCTACCAACCATGTTGTGTAAGAAAAGTATTGCGATCACTCCGGATTTTTTGATCCAATAATAATCAGTTTTTTCGATTTTGGAACGCCGAAAATCGCGGAATACAGCGTTATTTTAGGGTCATAGGCAGTGATTGAATTAAAAAAATTTCGGAACTACCGGATTTTTCTTTGTTTCGCAATTATATTGACATTAAAATTTAAAAATACATCAATTTTTTGCTTCCTTCGTCTTTTCGGTTTCACTTCGTGCTCGTCTTGCTTTTTCATTCAGAAAGTAAACTATTGCTCGCCGCGGGTTTCACTGCTCAAGCCTCAACGCCAATTGGCATGTTGTAATAAATATATAAAGATTTATTCTCGATTTCAATTGATAATTATCAATTGATTATAATCGATTACGCTTATGAGTTATCATTTTATTATCTGAGCTGATACACTTTTCTACATCAGATGAGTGAGGCGTACAAATTTGAATGCGGCAAAGAATGAGTAATAAATTTTTAAAATTCGACGCAGTTTCCACGTTTTGTGTTAGCTTCTTTATATTGGTATAAGGACTTGACTCCAAATTAAGTTGAGATTTCAATTGCACAAGCTCTTGGTATTGCAAATGTATTGATGATAATTCCAAATCTTTCCCAAACAGGTCGTGGACCATTTTTCAAATAGACATCGCTTCGGAAATTGATAAATGGTGCAACAATTCGACAAATTTATTGTCTGTAGAGAATAGATTTGTACTGATTTCAATATTAGAGTCAATGACGCACTCGCGCAGAGAATGTGTTTTATCTTGTGTTGTCTTTTCAACCAAGTTCAACCACTTTAAGCAAGCTAAACCTCTTTGAGGAATACCTTTTCGTCGTTTCCCACAACAATTTCTTCGTTCAATGCTTCTTCCTAGCCGCCTAACAATGGGTTTTGTTTCAAATCTTCGAGTACATTTTCAGGAAATTCAAGTGACGCACGAAACTAACAATCGTTGAATCATTTTTATGGCATCGCTAAAACATTTGCAATATACCGCTAAAAACAACAGGTTTCGTTCGGTTTTGAGATTATTGTAATATCTGGCAGTTTCAGCACATTCATTGGCTGCCCCATTGAAATAGGCAACCTGTGCCTGATATGAGTGTAGTACATTATTTAGCGAGCGTCTATATTCATATTGTAAATAATATGTGTCACTAGCAGTTGCTGATTTTACAATATCATCACTTGGAACATTCAACCAAATAATGGTCATTTCAAGAAGAAAACAATAAAAAGTGAACAAAACCGTTGCATTAATTTATTCTGTATGCTTAGAAATTGAGCAAAAGAATAGAAAACATTCAAATATCGACTACTGGAATTCGAATTGAGTGCTGCATTTCTCATTTTAAAACTACCGGTTTCCGTTAGAACTACCGGCTATTTTAATCACTGGTCGTAGGGTAGGTGCGTGGTACACTGTACGCTGTAAGCTGTACTGTACGCAAAAAATGAGAATTGCGATCGTCCCAGATTTTTTGACCTATTAAAAATCAGTTTTTTTCTTTGATTTTTTAACGCCGAAATTGGCGAAATCTATCGTTATTTATGGGTCGTCTCTTCCTCGGAAAATTCTTCGGGAATTTTATTATTCCCAACAAAAGAAAAAAAAATTTCTATTTTCGCGACACATTTTGAAAAATACATATTGAAATGTATTTTTGGGAGTGTAGAAAAGAAAACCTTACGGAAGTAAGGCACCTTGTAATTTTTCTGTATTTGTGCCCATTCATTTAACTTAAAGCTGCAGCTTTATTTGTGATAGTTTGACCCAAAACCTCCAATGGTTTCATTAGTTTTAGCATTTTCGTTAAAGCCGCGGCTTTAAAGCTGCAGCTTCAAGAAATTATGTCTGTTTTTCGCATTTTTTTTGGGAAATATTAGGTGGATGAAATGAATCAGGACGAATAATGAAGACAACAGTTGCAGTAAACTTATGAAATTTTTGGATTTTTTTCTGAAAAAAATAATCGATTTTTATGAATTTTTTTTCAATTTCTCTGGTTTTTTCCAATAATTTTGAGTAGAATGGAACATGTTCGGGCACAAAAAGTGGTTTTAGATCGAAATTTGTCAATTTTATGCTGAATTTATTCTGGTGCAGTAGTACCTAACCTCTCTAGTAACTTTCTGCATAGAAACTGATAGATTCCCAAATGGGTGCGCTGTTTTTTTTAGAGAAACCAATACAGTCGCGCTTTTGACCAAAACTAACTGATGTGTAAAAGTTTGGATCAAACAACTATTTGTTGATTTCGTAGTGCTATATTTCCGAAAATAGTCGATACTTTTTTCTGAAAATTTTGTAACATGCAAGAACATATTCTCAGAGCATCGAATTTGCTGTCCATGTAGCGCTGCTGGTTTACGGATCTGTTGAACAGCAGCTGTTAGTTGCGTGCATATTCGCGCGTCACATTTTTTGTACATCTAACGATTCTCATATACAGTGCTTGTCCCTTGCATTCACACAAAAACAGAAAGAGAAGTGTTTACAACACACGAGACACATCGTAGGCAACGCGCACAAGCTCAACCGAGTTTTTACGAGCATGCACGTACATAGCTGTCGTTCGCCTGTTGGAGTTAGTGCGCGACGCTTATAATGTGCCTCGTGTGTTGTATAGTATACAATGTATACTATACATGTACGAAAGATGTGACGCGCGAATATGCACGCAACCAACAGCTGCTGTTCAACAGATCTGTGCACCAGCAGCGCAACATAGACAGCAAATTCAATGATCTGCATGTTCTTATAATGACAAATGAACTGCTGAGAATAAAAGGCTGACGATTGCAGGTTTTTCGCAAAAGCGGGATAAAAATCAGTCGCACGCAAAAGAGACATTTCAAAAGGTTGCACGCAAACGGAACATTTTATTCTGTCGCATTTCGAATTTTTAAGCCGTGATTACAACAACAATATACTTCTCTCTCAGCCTTTTATTCTCAGCAGTTCAAATAATGAGCATGCAACATTTTGTGTCGCTACGCAGATCATAAGTGTATTTCATAACACTACGAAAAACGACATTTTGTATGAAAAAAACATCCCTTGGGTCCGAACTTTTGCACGGTAGTGTTCTAGGATTTAGCATTTTTAATAGACTCTTTCCAGCAATTTAAGATCTCAATCTTTATCTTTTTTAGTACGGCATCGGAAGTCCCTAGCACTCTTACCTGTATTTTCCTCTAAGAACTCTTTCGCGTAGCTCACGTAATGTCGTGCCATCAAAGGGTAGTGATCCACTCACTAATGTGTATAAGATGACACCTAATGACCAAACATCAACTTCGGGTCCATCATACTTTTTGCCTTGAAAAAGCTCTGGAGCCGCATAAGGTGGGCTACCACAAAATGTATCTAATTTGGAGCCTGGCGTAAATTCGTTGGAGAATCCGAAGTCTGCTATCTTAATATTCATTTCACTATCTAGTAGCAAATTCTCGGCTTTTAAGTCTCTGTGTGAAAATCGGAATTAAAATCAACATGATAAATAAATTTTTGACATCTGTTTTCGATTATCAATAAATCTAATATATTTATTCATTGAATCAAATGAAATTACCTGTGAATTATTTTCTTCTGGTGACAATATTGAACAGCCGAAACTATTTGTCGAAATTTGGCACGTGCCTCTTTTTCCTTCATTCGTCCATGTAGAACCAAGTAATCGAACACTTCACCGCCAGATGCGTACTCCATCACAAGGTATAGTGTTTTGTCTGTTTCAATGACTTGAAACAGTTTTACTATGTTTGGATGATCGAGCATTTTCATGATTCGTACCTGTTTTAATATAGAAAATATTTTTTTTCGTAGAGCTAGTTTTTCACATATATCTGTTCCTAGTGCTTTTCCGGTATTAATCCTAGTGCTTTCCGGTATAAATTAAAATATTTTTCCGTCAAACAATAAAATTGAATCCTCCCACCCAGTGCGCAAAACGTAACGAAACTTTGTATGAAGCGCGTGCACACGCTTGTAACGATAATTTTATGTGAGGCGCGTGCATAATTCTTATGCACATTTGTACCCAAATTCGTGTGCACAGTTGTGCTTCGAAATGTGCATCTATTTGTATAAAAAATATACATATTTTGTATGTGCACAATTATGCACAAAAACTTTGTATGTATTTAAATGTATGTACACAATAGTTAGACACAATTGTGCACACAAATCAAATGTACTACAAATCTATTTTAGGCCTAAATGTGTACAAACTATTCCATAAAATAGACACGCATTGCGCACTTTTGCAAAAGATAGAAAAAACCTCTTATACACTGTATTATATTTCAATCATTTGGTAATGAAAAAAGATTCTTTGTCTATATGTAGGAGGAGTTGTTTCGATACGTGTAGATGTTCATACAGAAGCAATATCTAATGTTCACACTTTATTGGCGGTTTTCATAAATTTGCTATATCAAAAATTATAGTCGGCTTGAAAAATAGAACCGGAAAACCACTTTGAACGGATATTATCATTTAAAGCTACATATTTAGAGGCAACATGAGATGCAGAAAGGGACACATGGAAGTTGAAATAAAAATAATCTTCGCAAATTCACCAGTTTAACCATCTTCTCTATCTCAACGTTCAAACCTCATTGGTATGGACATTGGACATGCAAAGATTTTCCTAATGCTTAGAAATCGTTTAGACGGAAAAATCATTAGAAAACCAAAAAGAAGTTTCCTGGTGTGGATTCATCGATATTGAAATTATTGAGACAGTCCCGCAAAATGAAATGGCTGTGGTGATCGGGTGGTAGTCAAAGCGCCCCGGACCGACAGCATGCTTCTGTGTTTTCTATTACATTAGAGTATGCTATCCGTTCGGAGCGTTATGACCGCCACTCCGGCGAACAAGTTTGATCGTCACATCGTAGCATGTGGAATAACTGCGACGTTCCAAATTGAATGAATGAAGAAAGTTGTTAGTGGGAATGAGGTCAAGAGGGAGGTTGAATTGAAGCAGAAATGGGAGAGTGAACAAGAATATACTTTCGGTACCATTCTGGAAATTGTGTATGGCGGTATTCACTGCCATTCATTACAAATGCTAGAAGCGGTGTGATACACTGACTGAAATAATTGACAATCAAATACGTATTGACCGTGTATGAATTGGGCATATTGGACCCCGATCATCCAATATAAGATCTGCACTGAGAATATTTTAAAGCATTCTAATGGTTCAATCAGAGATTACATCCAATGAGCATGGACTTCAAGGTCTATCCAGTACTATGCCCTCAAAATATTTCTGGAGCAAGATCAGACCTCCTGCGTTCATGAAGTGTCGAATTCCAACCGACCAAATTGTGCTTGCTCTTTTTCGCGGTGAAATTTTCACCACACTTGAACAGCACAAAAATCAATGCCGCATTCACTGAAAATTCTTACGCTGCAACGTTCAACCTGTGCTATGTGAGACATAGAACGCCCTCGGCACGGTGCAAGAATGTCATCGAAATTCCTATACTGCGATACTGGCCGAAAGTAACATGAAATCACGACACGGAACATGTGACACAACAGTCAAATGGGGCAACATTGTTGACAGCGCCACGTCAAAGCGGTTGCTCGGTCAACTACAGTCAGTCGTAACGCAAAGTGGCACAAGCATGTCCTATTTTCTGCATCTAATCGTCGCGTTCATACGCGTGTGTATGCGAAAAATGATACAAGCTTGTGCCACTTTGCGTTGCGATTGACGTATGCTTCTGATTAAAAAAATAATCAAAGGAAGTTAACGAAAAGTAGTTTTAAAAAAATTAGAAAACATAAGCCACTCTTGGAAGTTGGCTGCGTTGCCCGGTATGCATTATGTTCACCCTTTTCTTTATAATATAGCCAATAATAATCAAATAATTTCACTTTCAATGGGGCATGCGAACTGCTGAGAAAATTTGCTGGACTAATTTCGGTGCGTAATTAAATGTGAGTTTTAAAAAAGTTTTTTCTTGCACGAATGGTACTTCGAAATAATTTTTTCGGGTCTTCAAAACCGTAATTACAACACCATTTGACCCATATTTGCGTACAAAAATGTCCAAGGTGCACATTTAATTGAGCATTGAAATATGTCCTTCGAATATTCTCAGTATTTCATGTGATGTGTTGGGTACACATCACATGAACTGCTGAGAGTTGGTGTACATGTGAAATCTCATTGATTTTTGACCGGTCCAAACAGAAAGGAGAAGGTAGTGCGTTGAAGTTCAATTGAAGTAGTTTTATAGTATATATTGAGTTTCTTTCATACGGTACAAAAATTTTCGAAGATGAGTTAAAATGTTCAACCATTTATGAATAAACAAAACCCACAATATAAGGAACAAAGTTTAATCCAGAACCAGCCACTAAAACATTCAACTTGGGGAATATACACCGCTATCAATTATTCGTGTCCAATGGTCTTTTTATGTAAAAAATACCAAATTTATCCATTCTGTATTACATTGGAGACTATAGTTTTTGAAATTTCGATTTGGTTTTAATTCAAATTTTTTGTCGAAAATTTTAACCTTTCAGATAACGATTTTCTTCGTCTTTGTGTGATTTTATAAATTAAAGCGTACCTCTCTAAACAGTTTTTGTAGCGACCCGGGGTTTAATTGGGTTTTGTCTATAATTTTGATAGCCACTTCTTTTCCGGTTGGTACATGTTTTGCCAATTTCACTTTGGCAAAGTTTCCTTTACCGATTGTCTTTAACAGCCTATATTTGCCTATATGCTCATCGCCAGGTCTCCATCGCAAGGAGACTCCTGGCCGATATTGCGTATTGGGTGATCCCTGTTTGAGTGAGTCCTGTTAATGAAAACAAAGATAATTAGTTAAAAGTAAGGGGAAAAAATTAAAGTTTATGCTTTCCAGAATTGTAAAAGAATGCAATTGAGCAGTGCATTTATATGATTAATTTAATATTGTTGATGTACACATAGAGAAAAGAATTAGTGAGCTCTGCAAATTCTATTGATGAAACGTCAAACTACTAATAGATTGTTTCAAATGTAGTGGTAAATTCAATACAAATGACACAACGCAAGTCGCAACTCATTTACATAGTATTAGTAAACGAAATTTCTCACTTGTGCTGAAATTACCAATACAGTTGAAACAATCTATTGGTATTCACCAATAGAACGATTTTGCCTAATAAACTTCATTCTCCATGTGTAATTTTATTTCTCTTTAGTCTCGATTTAACTTATTTCCTAATAATCCTGAATTATTAAAGAACACAATAGTTTATCTACATCAACTTTATGGTTTTTCAACTAAAACCAAATACTGACCAATTAATGCAAATTTCCATACATAGGAAATATTAGGGCAGTACCGCCTATAATTTCTTACTAATATATTGAAGAAGGAAGTCTCAACAAGTTTTGATGGAAACGAACAGAAAAGTGGGTGCCTGAGACAGTTGCCTTAAGGATATAATGTCACTATTTTCTTTCGTCGTAAGTCAATAGTACAACTTCGCCCTAGACGTGAGACGGGTTTTTGGAAACGACGTAATACGGGTAATTTTGAAGGAAACTCTTTGTTGAATCGCTATTTTCCTTAATTGGATTTGAAACTTTGTTAAAGATTCCTTACAAAAATTACGTTAATCAAAAGAGCCTATTCTGAAAATGAAATTTGTTCAAACCATGATTTCAGGCGTGAGCACGCTCATTTTGCAAACTGTTCACTTCACGAAAAACCAAATATTTATTTACTAATACGGGTTTAAACTACCTGGAGAAGGCAATTTTGTTGTCTTGCGTGCCATCGGCATATTTGTACAATTTTATTTTATTTAACAGAATCGAAACATTTTTTTTTTCAAAATTCAAACATTATTGTCACATCACACAACACGACAATGTTTGGCACTGTATTGAACACACTCATCAATGCAGTTCCAATACGTTGCCGTCAAAATGTGTGGCGTTGTTGGTTTGACATTTAATGATCGAGACTATCCCGGTGCTAGTTATTAAGTGATATAATTTGATAACGCACATATATATTGACTACCCGTCAAAAGATGCGAATCATTTATAAAATGCATTCCTTGAACCATTGATTCTATTTCGTAGTGTTGTATGGCGTTGGAAAGATCTTAAAATCTATTTGTCATATAAAATATCACGATTTAAAAATGACATTTACTTTTCAAGAACTTTCCAGTGAATGTCCTATATATATGTATATATGAATTTCAATAGGCTTTCGGTTGTGGACCTTTGGGTCGAATAAGACAAAAACACATAGAAATAATACAGTTTGATGTGACTCCAAATTTTTTACGAGTACTGTAAATGACATGATTTAAATGAATTGTTTATTGTTGTTTTCCTGTTTGAATAATTTTATTAGTATTTACTCGATAGAATTTATAATTTAGACATTTGCTGATTTTTTTGAATTACGATTTTTAAATGCCTGTCAGCCGGTCGCTTATTTTTTGACATTCAACATCAGCGCCGCTTATAGCAAAACGATAAACTAAAAATAACACATGAACTTCTATATCGATCATCATGTGCAGTGCACTCGTTCGTTGCTGGCATGCATTGAGAATTTTTGCACGAATTATTTTGAAATTCATATAGAAAAAGCGGTTTTTCTATTCATTTTTTGCACATTAATTCAATATTATATGTATTACACACTGTCAAAACTTTTCAACATTTTTGTGTTGGTATTTCTGGTAATATACGGAATTCACGGTAATCCGTGAATTTCATAGTATATTGCCGGATCTCCGTTAGAATACATACACACAGCACGTCTGCGTTGACGGAGATCCTGTAATATAGTATGAAATTCACTGATTACCGTGAATTCCGTATATTACCAGAAATACCAACACAAAAATGTTGAAAAGTTTTGACAGTGCATCCATTTTAATTTTCAATGGAGTTTGTTTGATATGAGAAATGATTGTTTCATTTGGTTATAATGCTTTCGTAATGAACGGAAAAGTATATGATAAGATGGTTTTACCTTATCGCGAACAGAATTTTGGTGATGTGATTTATATTCGTTTTTCGGGGATTTGCTTTTACTAGTTGCTACAATTGGTAGTCCACCATTTTCCATCATGGTGACCACTACTTTTCGATTTCCTGAATGTGCTGAGTTCCGTTGACTGGAAGTATTGTTGTCTTTAAAATAGGCTGCAGGTTTATTTCCACTATTAGTTTGTCCAGATAGTACTGTATTCTGTAAAGCAATGCTCCCACTGTTGCCATCTTTTACCATTTCAAGTTCATGATTTTCTTTGTCTTTGGTTCTTCGGATATCTTTACGATAATTGACATATGCTTCTTTTGCTGTGGCTTGTGAATGGCTTTTCGATCTTTTCAGGAACTTGATCATTTGGTTTCGGACTTTATTCTGGGATCCAGTGCTTGCTACATCAACACTTGCATTATTGCTGTTACTATCTGCACTCTGAATGTCAACCAAACGTCTAAAACTTCCATCCGGCAACTTGTTGTAGCAAATCTCTGACATTTTATGGTATGAATCTGGTGGTAATTTATGGTAGCCTCCATCTGGAGTTTTATAATAACATGAATCCGTTTTATGATATCCCTCAGCTACCATATATACATCTTTTCTGTTGATATTTGGTTTGATTTTTTCAAGACTTGTTGGTTTTTTGAAAGAACCAACATGGCTGGTAGTATTTCGATTATTGGCCATTGTTGCGCAAATTTCACTATTTGAATTAGTTTCATTACTATTTATGTTGACAGCGATGTCATTATTATTGTTACAATTGACAACATTATTGTTTGTTCGTATATTTTGGCTTTCTATAGTTTTTGAAGTAATAGTTTTCAATGAGCTCATATCGCTTTTGACAGGTTGTTTAAAATTTGATTGTGGATGAGTTGTTGTGTCGCACTCTGAAATATATTCAATATCACCGAGTTTATCGCTTAAAGTACTTCGAAATGAAAATTCAAATCCAAACAAACAAGTATTCGTAGAGCTTCCACTCACCCAAACTATGTGGAGCAACTTCTAATGTGTCGATTGTCCGCTGAGTGTTATTAAAGTTTTTTGACAAAGAGTTGCCAACACCAGGTGGTAGAGTTTCACTTTTTTTATTCTTTGCATTTTTCAATATATCATGAGAATTTTTTCCTCCCTCCTTTAAACTAAGATCGCCAACTTTCTTCTTTATACTGGAATGCCGCTTGATACTAAATGAACGACTGCAGATGATTACACATCAGTATAATTTTTAAGATATTTTCTAGGTAGCTTTAGAAATAAATAGAATCCAAATGCTAGTTCTCTCGATATTTATTGAAGGGTTAAACAAGTGAAATTTGGAAAGAACATCTAAACTGAGTTTACTGCGAACAACATCTCTTTTACGCTAACAGCAATTCGTCCACGAACGAGTCAGTGGGATGTTGGTGTGAGCGAGACAGGATTTGACAGCAAACAATTTGGTTGTATCAGTTTAAATATTCTTTTCCATTTTTCAAGTTCAGTTATGTGAAAGTGTGTAAATCGTTTGCAAAGCTTAGATATCTGTTCGCATAGTTTAGTTCCGTCGGGTCACTTGAGGTAAGACGTTTATTTTCAAAATATAGACCTTCTTCCTTGCAACGAGTTTATACACACATGGACACATCAGACGTGAGATGGAAAAATATAAAAAAACCAAATGATGCCATATGGCATCAGCGTCCTGAAAGGGTTTATAAATTATAAACATACTTATGTTTGGTATTCAGCTTGGATGCTCGCTTACTATCGGCGCTACCACTACTACCACCGTGGCTATTTGTTTGTCCCATTTGAATTTTATTGAAAACAATATTTTATTATGAAATCAAATCAAATCAAAATGCGTTGAACGCATGAACATTTCATAGAAGCACAATTTCTCTTTCGTTCTTATGTGAAATTTTATTGTCTTTCAAATTCATTTGTCACTATTTATAGGCATGTAGAAGAAAATGTTTTTAATCATTTCAATAAATGAATTATTCTACACCGTTTGATTTCAGTTACAGACTGTATAATTTGTGTTAATTCAATAATAATCTATAGATTACTTATTTTCAATGCATGATTTCAACATATTTTTTAGCAGTGCGTGAGTAGTAAAAAGTAGTACTCTATATTCAATTGTTAGAGTACATTTCATTTGTCCAAAACATATCATATGTAACGTAACAACAATTGATAAGTCCATAAGAAAACAACAAATCACATAGTAAAAGTGGAATTTGTTTCAAAGAAGATAGAAAAATATAAGAAATTCGTTCAAGAAATTTTCTTTGTTGCTAGCCTTCTGTACTCTCTGTAATGATCGATCGAATAATGTAAAACTAATAACATCATGAGTCATTGTTAAATTGAATTCTGTGAAACAAGTCAGAATTCTAATAGCAAATTTCATGCTATGCGTTGCATCACAAATGATTATTTACCATTCACGGAATTAAAAAAACTGAATAAGTATGTAGATTTGAAAGCTCAATCGTCACTTTCATAAGATATATAAAACCAATCTGTAACTCAAAACGCATAAGAATGGGAGATAATACACAGAATTTCAATTTAATATTACTTTTTGTGATTGTATAAATTTCTCTCATTCACATTTTCCACATTGCTTCAATATTACTAAAATGTTCATATATTTGTGTTTGTATTTGTATTCGTATTTGTATGTATCTGTATGTGTATGTGTATGTGTATGTGCATGTTTCACCTCTTTTTATGATCTCACAAGTAGTTCTTCTTCATATGAATATCGAAGCATACACAGGCTTGTATGTATGGGTTTTATTATTGCAAGATTTTCTTTATATTCACGTTGAACACATTCGAAATAAAAACATACTTCCTTTGATAACACACTTTAATGAATTTGGACACTTTTAATCCAAATTTGTTCATTACAGAAACTATAACGTGAAATCAAATGAATGAATCAAATAGAAAGAAAGAGTGAGATAGAACGCTGATTCAAAGGTCGCCCCACATTTGGTAGTATACACAGTCATACTATCACACATAAGAGCACGGTAATCGTTAACAACTGGAGATTACATGATTCCATTATTCATTGAGAAAAAGTATTTTAAATCGTTTTAATTATCTTTTTGCACTGCTTTTTTTCAATATTTGTTTTATAATTTAGAATCACGATATCACTTTATGATGTCGATGCAATGTTAATGCCGGAAGACAGTTTCTTTAATTTGTGTTATTATTAGTGACGACAATAATTCACAAAAATCATATATAAAAAATGCGCGCGCATTACAATAAACTTAATTCGAATTTGAGCTCAGATTATTTATCTTTTGTTCTTGAAAAGTTTTAGAAAATTTTCACTGAATAATTGAATACTGAATGATGTACTGTGGAACGTGAAAAAATGAATATTCCCGCCCTGAACTGTGTGAGTGAACTTACTAGACTGAGAAACCAAAAAAAAAAAACAAAAAGAATATGAATTGACTACGGAGAAAAAGTATTCATCGACCAGTCAAACCACTTATTCACTTCTCTTTTTGTGTTTATTCACACAAACACAAACAAATGTCTATTTTAATAAAAACAACGTAACATTTATACTTGGTATACATAGATACATATACACAAGTCACATATATAGTGTGGGCACATAACATTTTAATGACATGTGCATTTGTATTTGCAAATTTTGTCGTATTGATCTACTTGTATTTATGGGTTGACTAAGTCAGAAGCGGTGCCGTATTTGTGTTATATTTTTAGTTGAAAGCTTCACAACGTTTAGGAAATCTATAAATTGTACAACAAGAATGAATGTTTTGAAAGTTTGTTCAAGTTATAGATCGTGCGATCTTAATGATAAGTACAAAAAATAGTCTTAAGGTGACGATTTTGAATGTGTATTATATTGCAATTCTCGAAAGTGGTAACAAAGAAACTACTACGGCGTTGAAGTATGAGTACAAATTTCAATTTGCGTGCAAATTTACGCAATTTCATCAGTAAAACAATTGCAACGAAAACTTTGAAAAACATATTAGATAATACGTACAGTGAATGTAAAAAACAAATTTATATTATATTTGATTGAATATGCGACCACGAAAATATTAAAACTATAGAAATTCAAAATATAAAATAAATATGCCTATTCAGTTCCCGCTCTACTGAAGATTTTTTCGATTACTTGATTTAACTTTCGATAGAATGATGGGCAACATTTCTATCGATATTTCATGGAAGAACTATTTTAATTTTCCAACAATTTTGACGTAGTACAAAATCTGCATTAGTCTTTTCGGCAATGCATCAACAAATTTTTTGTTTATTACAAGTAGCATTAATAATGGAAATTAGTTGTCTTTTGTCTATAATTGTTAAATGTACAAAAGCAAGATATCGAACTGTTTATTTTGTCAGATTATCTATTATATTGTAATGTGAAATTTGATAAAGCTAGCCATCGAGTCTGTGTTAATATTGGGACAATGCTCTAACCAATTATTCGAAGCTATTGATCGAATCGATTTATCAATCCTCAATAATTGTTTGAAATGAAATTTAATGTTATCAAATCAAATTTTATCCCCAAATTGTATGAAAAGAACAGGGTTTCTCATGAATCCCTACGGATTCATTCGCTTGCAAAAATAAAAATGATTCAGTCGCGGTGAAATAAATAAATAAATAAATAAATAAATAATCATTGGATATCAAACGCAGTGATCCCAAGGTTTTAACGTAGTTGAGAGAAAGTTCGAATTTATTTTGAAGGATTCAAAATATATATAACTGATCTATTTACTATAGAAAAAAAACAAATGACAACTTTAGAAAAGACTACTAGGTTTCAAAGTCTATAGACTTTTTTTTAACCCTCTAATGCATACAACCGCCCCTAGACGGGCAACATTTGAACGCCTGTAGAACGTAAACCGTACATCGGATCACATTGCTTCAAAAAGAATTTTTATTGGTCAATGTTCTCTCTTTATTTTTGTCTTTGGCAATATTTGTCTATGTAGTGTGATTGTAAAGTTATAAACAAAAATGTGTGCAAAAACAAAAATTTGACAAAATAAATTATTCGAACTTCAAATTAGACACATTTTTGACACTTTTAAACAATGGATTTGATTGTTCTTTGATTCATGTCAATCGCATTTCCTGACTGACCCATGAGAAATCTAGGATTATGAATATTTTTACTTTTCCGCACACGAAGTGTGTGAGAAAAGTATAGCGATCGACGTGATAAAAAGTGTGCTAATTTTTGTTGTGTCCACGATAACTTTCGAACCGCTCAAGCGATTTCGCTCAAATTTTTCCAGGAGTCACAATTAGTAAATATCTTGGATGTATTGGATGTATCAAAAGTTGGGCCAAATTTGACCAGTTCATCTGGTACTTTTGGGACATCATGGAAAATCACCCAAGGGTCCCCCCTTGGATTATGTCGAAAAAAAATGTCTTTTTTCATCAACCTAGAGTGGATTGTTGTATCGTTCTCACATAGTTTTATAATATTAGGCAGTGTTAAATGGTTTATAACGTGATGGCCGACCATGATGGCCCAAAAACTACGATTTTTGGTTGTGTCCACGATAACTTTCGAACCGCTTGAACGATTTCGCTCAAATTTGGCCAGGAGTCACTATTAGTAAATACCTTGGATGTATCAAAAGTTGGGCCAAATTGGACTAGTTCATCTGGTAATTTTCGGATGTCATAGAATTTCACCCAAGGGGGACCCTTGGATTTTTTTGATTTTTTTTTTCTTGTTATCATAGAACGGATTTTTGATTTGTTTTAACACGATTTTATCATGTTAATCCGTGTTTTTCGATGTGATTTTTTTCTATATTTTTTTGAATTTTTTTTTCAACTTTTCTCATTTCAAAATGCATTTTCTGGTTTTTTATATCATTTTCTTATCGTTAGCCGTGTTAAATGATTGGTCAACCATGATGGTCTTCTTTTTAATTTTTAATTTCAACTTTTTTCCATTTAAAAATATACTTTATGGGTCATTTTACATGATTACTTTGAGGACATCAACTTTAAAAAAATACTTGTGCGGAAAAGTCCGTTTTACGCTCGTAAAACTTTTTATTTTAAATATCTACGGCCAAAAATCAACCAAGTACCAGTACTCCCAGCCCTGGGAAAAATTATTGCATTAGAGGGTTAATATTATAACAATCACACACTTTTTACTTGTTATATCATCATTTTTGGAATCAAAAAAACATTTCATGATTATTATTATATATCACTTTTTTATCAATTACTGATAGAATAGTATAAAAGTGATATATAATAATAATCATGAAATGTTTTTTTGATTCCAAAAATGATGACAACTAAAAATTTTGTGATATTTATAACATATTAAAATGGTAAAAATATCCCAAAACTTTTTGAATGGAATAAATAATTAACTAGGAAAGATTAGAAAAGTATTTGTTTTATTTATTCGATATATAATCTCTTTGTTATATAATTTGCAAATCGTCTTTTTAAGCTTCGGAGAGGTTATGCTAGTTACATTTTTTTTTAAATAGCTTTGTAATTTTTCTTTTAGACATTTGAAATAAAAAATTAATTAACATTTTCGACATTGTACTAATTAAATTATGATATTACAAAGGAATTTAGCCCGAATTTTTCGGGTCCATTAAATTTGACCATAAATTGTTTTTGTAATAATTTTATCGTTGACCTAAATCTAAAACTTTCAAGTATTTTAAATTTAAGATCATCAAATAAGGCCCAACGTAATTTTGTCCACAGGAAACATTTCCATGTTAACAAAAATACACAGGACCTTATGGGAACTGGAAACATGTTTACAATCATTATTTACATGTTGCGTAGTGTGACTGCCGCCTAATACAGAGTTTCAAATTATTAATTTAGTTTCAAATGTTATTAACATCTGTACTAGAAAATACTGTAAAATAGAAAATATCTGAAATTTCAAGAGCAACCAATCCTGAAAGTATTCCATTCATTTCATTTGATAAAGTATTCAATTCAACCGCCAACGCGTTGGAAATGCAGTTTGGTTGCGGTAATACTATTCTATCGCTTTGAACTGGAATATTTCATCATTGAGTACCCTAGTTTTGGCAGACTTCAAGAGATTTATGCATTTGAGAAAAAAATCTTCAAATTTCAAAATTTTTTATTCGTATTTACGACCTAAGTGTCTTGGCAGTTTAGAGGACTTTTAGGAAAATAAAAAAATCGAAACTCACAAACACCAAAAGTTGTGTAACAAAACATTTATAGACACATATTATTGTTAACTAATAATATTCATTATGAAATTGTACTTCAACAGACGAATTATATTTCAATGGCTTTATTTTTTACTATATTCAACGTAGGCACGCGTGTTTGTTTATGTTTGAAAGAGATTGCATTTTTTACAGTTATCTTGTACTTTTGCAATCTTTTTTACGTTGTAAGCGAGTCTTATCCCTTAAACTGATCCTTCTTTCTCTTTTACCTAGATCAATTTGTTCATTTTTTTTTCAAAGAATTTCAAAAAGCCATAGTTTCACCGACTGCTTTTACGAATAATGTTCCATTTGAATTTTTTTTAAATAAAATTTTCGGTCTAAAATCAAATGACTTATTCTTTTAATTGAACTATCAAAAAATAGTGACACTTCCTTTCGAGAGCAACATTCCAAAAAAAAGTTCCAAAATATTTGATAATAAACAATATATAGAATTCAATAAGTACCTTCGTTGATGATGTCCTTCCTTTAAGAGAAGTATTAGTGTGTGAATGAGATGATTTGGTGGCTGTAGGTTCGGTTGGTGCAGTTGAAGTGACAGTTGTGCCCAGAGGATTAGTTATATGATCAGCGGGTAATGACTCCGGCACCGTTTGCAATGTAGATCGCATTGTAGTTGACATTATTATATACCGCGCACTACTATGCGATTTGCACAAACACAATTTTAGTTTAACTTTGTTGTTCCAAACTTTATATTCAGAAGAACGAATTTTTGTTTCTCTCTTTCCAAATGCTCCAGTATTTTTTCAAGTGATCAAACTTATATTTTCAAAGATATACGTTTCATATCACTCAATATACACAGAAGTTATATTGCTGAATTTGTTTTGATGTCTTTATATTGCTGTTGTAAAATTTTGGAAAAATATTTAGGTCACTTGCCGCTAAACGTCAAACTTTAGAGTGGTCAAACACTTATTCGTTATATTGAGGACTTAAAATCCAGTTCTTCTTTTCGTACAGGTTTCATTGTCCCTTTTTCCAACATGATGTACGAACCTATAAATAGAATCTGATATTTAGTACTTTTCATATTGAACTCGATTTTATAGGAAATGCATTGCCAAATATATTGATATCACTTAAAAAATGTAATATATTATTAGTTGACATATGTTGTTCGAATTTTCTCTCTATTCGATATGGATTTTTGTCATAATATAATATTTGATTTAAAGCCTCACTTTTTTATTCATCAGTAATAAAAACTTGGATCTTCAAACTTATTTGTAAGATAACAATATGTGCTAAGTATGATTATAAGCTTTTCTCATTTTCCGAAACCCATTTTTTGTTGTCTAAGAAATAGGACCCTGGCACACATAAATAGAAATGAAAAGCACAAATAGAACAAGTTTGGTTAGCACAAAGATGAGCTATCACATCAATAGCATGTCAGATGACGTCGCCATTCAACATCTTTATTCTCTGTGCTTCATTCCGTCTCAACAGAAAAATGGAGCATGCGTATATCATCATCAGGTATTGCTAGTGTATTTCATTACCCATGGGTGAAATGCATTTTTAGTTTGCCGAAGTGTTGGCGAATAGTATATAACATAACATTTTCCATTTCATTTTAAAAGGTTTGCTGTAAATATTTCAGCGTTTGAACAATCGATAGAATAAAATAATGATATGATTTTTCTCTATTATTCACAAGAACGTCTAAAGTACCTTGCATTCTTTTGTAATAGAATAAAAAGTTTCTAAGCGAACCCCATTTGAAAATTATTTGGTTACCACTGCAACTGGAAATCAAAAAATGCAAAGTAAATTTTGTAATAAATTCTATCATTGAGCTACATTTATTCTAAACTTTTTTTTGACCGAATAGTATTCGAACGGTACTATAAATCAATCATTAGACGATGAAACTTTGAATCCCAAATTTTATTCAGAATTTTATGAAAATATCTATTGAAAATAAACTTTATTTTTAGATAAATTTCATTACAAAGCCATGTAATTTTTTATTATGATAATCCGGCTTTAATCACTCTAAACTTTAAAGAATAACTTGGGTAAAATGTTCATGTATCAGATATAAAATGAACTCAATTTATATGTGTTGAAAAAGTTGCAATGAAAAAAACATGAATCACATTGATAATGTTTCATTAATTTTGACGGAAGGCTATTCATTCAAAACAAGACGATTTTTCAAGCAATAAACATGAACAAGAAAAGGGAGTGAAATCTAAAAAAAATATTAACAAAGTAATATTTATAAATTTGGGGGAGAATTGACTATCCATGAGCTCCAGAAAATGTTTTTTTCATTTGTATCACCAAAAATCCAAACAACCGATTTCTCTGGTGAAAAGTCAGTCGGTGCTGCAATCATAATTGATGGAATTTTTCTTAATACGAAAACTGATGAAAATAAATTTTTAGGGTGAAGAACCATCTAAACACACAAATACAACGAGCACTCACAATATTTAAGCAGAAACACACTTACACAGTTGCTTGTACATTGATACATTTCACTTTTTTGAATGAGTCATCTAAAACATAAAAAGCAAGTATAACTCCTCGGAAGAAATGCTTCTTCAAACTAATTTATCTCCATTAGAAATTAACTGGCCAATTTTTTCTCATCATGCTGTGATTTTCACTCGTTCTGGTTTGCTTACTTTCACATAAGTTTTGGTACTCAGAAAGAGAACAGTCCTTTTCAACACAATATGCACAGCAATATTAAACACGATTAATCAACTATAAAATAAATAACTAATGTTCATAAGTTAGAACATTTTGTAAAACATTAAAAAGAAAAACGAAATCGCAACTCTACCTATTTTCCTCGGTCATCGACAAAACACTTCTACAAAAACCATTTATTCGCATTTAAACTATTTTTTATTTAATTTTCCATAACAATATTAATATTTCAGCGATAATGTTTGTAATGATGATTAGAGAAAGTATTTGGAAATACTCTATAATTGATGAAAATAGCAATGAGGAAAACTATTGAAGATGTACTGAGAGATTAGCACGGCACATACAACTTTGTTCTACCTCACACTGAGTATTCAAACTGTTACATTGGCGGCCATCTTTTCACGAATATTTTCGCATTTCAAATCTACTAAGACGCACAAACTCACACACATTCATCGAATAAGGCATTCGCAGTGTAACTTTCGGTTGTAAGTATAAGAACATATACACTCAAAAGCAAGAAGTCTACAGACAAGTACATGAAAAATTTCGAATATTCTTGCGTGTCTTAGTTCAACAAACTGAACTTAGTTCAAATAAAGCTCGTACATTTGTATATAATACATGTGAATGAACTATGGCTCCCGTATTTGCATCGTCAGACATATCAAACTTGTTCCAATACTATTTGAGAAAAAATCGGGGATATCTTTTTATCTCTATCTTTCGTCCCTATCAGCACTGTCTTTCTCTTTTCATTTGTACGTAGTTATAACACGCACACTCTTACGGGCGGTTAACAAAATGGTATTGGCCTGTGTAGTGTGTATGTCTGTGAATTTGGCAGATACACTAGACTCTTTGCAGCTACAAAATATACACTTTTTGTCAAGTCTTTCTTCTGTCATGCATGGGAATTAGAAAATAATATTATTTCTGTTTATTCATTTGATAAGGATGAATTTTTGGAGATAATGTTCCAGAAATGAAAATTATTTTTCAAAGAATTTTTATAATTTTTTTTGACTATTCAAAACTTTCATAACCTCAACATGTGACAAGACATCGTTCTGAGCATTTGACATAAAACAAATTCTATAACATGTTCATCAAATTTATTGGGGCATGAAAAATGATTGAAGTTTTTTGTTTCAATAAATTTTAAAAACATTGTTTAATTTGGAAATTTAAAATATTTGACTGTCTGTTTGTTTGTTCGTTGATGTGCTCGGCTTTTATAAATCTTTTTGGCTTTATTGGAATCTATGCATGCTAGTTGCAGTCCAAAATACGACACCAAAGCCGGTGCACGATGTAATCGGTATATTGTTTTTATCAAATTCCATAACATACTAACTTGGTTTTGGTACGAAAAACTTGCCCATAAATTGTTCGCTCATGGTCGACGCAGACGTAAAATATGAACTTATTTCAGTAGTTAATGTCTCGAAGATATCCGACGATCCAAATAATTTTAATATGAAAACGATTTTAAACAATTTAGAACGCATTTTGTTTTTAAATCTTGTCGAACCACATTTCATTCCAACTCTCTTTTTCGATTTGGTAGAATGTATTGGCTAGGGTGTTTTTCATTCTAATCACATGAAAATTGGTTAGAACCAGTTGAAAGAGTAGCAATTTCTGTAACAATTCATAGTCTTCATACAATGTTGCGATTGATATTCACACTTCCCGAAGAAAAAATTACATCGGTGTATACAATAAAATTTTATGATTCAAATTGTTCATGTATTGATTTGAAATGGAAAATTCTAGAATTTAAGTCGTTGTTTTTGCGTTCGAAAATGAACTGAATGGTAAGAGTATATTTTCAAATTCATTTTTTCTGATTCATCAACGATCACGATTCAAATTGTCCACAGATGGCTAAACTAACGTCACACATGTTCCCGCTATAAGTTTTGGTTCATTTTGAATTTAATTATTGTAAACAAACCGCCGTTCACAATTTCCCCATGTCATTAAATATAAAACTTTGCTTCGTTCGACTAAATTCAGATTGAACACCCAGCAACTGAAATCTAAAGGAAAAAAGGGTGAAGCATTTGAATTGTTGTCATTGTGACATCGAACGAGTGATCGAACCAAACAAATTTCTTTAGTTGCAACTACGATGACTCAACGTTCCAAGGCGTTCCACAATCGCCTACCGATGAGTCACAGCAATCTGAGGAATTCCAGCTCGACATCAATTTTGTGCTTGAAGAGCTACAAGCCGTGAACACCACACGCATATAATCTTGTATTGAATACATATAAAATACGAAGTGTGAAATTGTAGAGCGCCGTCCATAAATGACGACAAAATTCAGTACTAATTGGTATGATTTGGCAATATTTCACAATATGTCGAAATCACTTACGGCTATTTACAGCTGATTTTGGCGTTATTTATGGATGGCGCTCTACAATTGTCCAAAGTAGGACAATAAGCGGATGGTGAACACGAAGAAAGGTACGGGTCCCGATGGTATGCACCCATTGATAATGAAAAACTGTGCGAGCCATTTGGCGGCTCCACTCACCGAGATTTTCAACGAATCATTGGTAACTGGCCAATTTCCTGACAAATGGAAGCGCTCGAGTGTATCACCCATCTTTAAAAAGGGGGCGAGATCGAATATTGAAAACTATAGTTGCATTGCTAAGCTCCAAACTGTGGCGAAGTTCTTTGAGCATTTGGTGAACGTCAAACTTCTGTCACTGGTACAGGACAAAATCACCAAAAAGCAACACGGCTTTATAAAATCCAGATCCACTGCATCTAATCTCACCGAATTTACCTACAATGCCCAGAGAGGCATAAATTCAGGTGCGCAAGCGGACGTTCTCTACATGGACTTCAGTAAAGCGTTTGACAGAGTAAACTACAAGAGATTGATTCTGAAACTCAGATCGTTCAACCTGCCAGACAAACTTCTTGCTTGAATCAAATCATACCTTTCCAACAGAACGCAATTCGTTAAGTATGGGAGCAGCGAGTCTAACGAATTCAACGTATCATCTGGCGTACCACAGGGTAGTCATCTCGGACCCACACTGTTCCTGTTATTCATCAACGACATAGTGGACGAAATGGACGACGTATTCATTTCTTTGTTCGCCGATGATGTAAAAATCGCCAAAATCATCCACTTGAGCACGGATGCGGAAGCGTTACAGCGAGCCATCGACAAACTAAAGGTTTGGTGCGACGTAAACAATTTGCACCTGAACCTTGACAAATGCGCAGTCCTTACAATCACCACAAAAAGGAAGGACATCATCGACACTAATTACAAATACGGTGATTTTACCTTCAAGCGCGTACTGGACCACAAAGATCTCGGCGTCATCATTGAACAAAAGCTTTATAAAGCACATTGACGCGATCACTTCGAGAGCTACAACAGCCTTGGGATTCATCAAAAGATTTTGTTACGACATAACCGACGTTCAAACGCTCAAAGCACTATACTACGCGCTGGTTCAGTCTCATCTTGAGTACTGCAATGTTGTATGGCTACCAACTTATACCGTGCATATCGACAAAATCGAGAGCGTGTTGAGAAAGTTCACCCAGTTCGCCCGAAGAGAGTACCGTACGGCGGCCAACGGCTACAGTATCACCGACTACAACAAGCGACTTGAGGTGTTGAACATGACATCATTGGAGAGTAGGAGAGTGAATGCATCTATTGTATTCATGTACGACATCGTGAATGGAATCGCAAATTGTCCCAATGTACGCAAAGACATCGCAATTGGAGAGAGCGTACGTAGGTTAAGGCACACAGACTACCTAAAGATTAAAGATAAGCTCATTGACAAACAAATCAGAGCTCAAGTGCCTCAAATATGCAAGTTTACAAACAAAGTGGCTGAACAATTCAATAACTCAACCAGCCGTGCAAATTTCATCTCGTCGGTACGCAGCGAACAAAACCAAAAATTTAATATTAAATATTGACAAATTGTTATCTTACATCCCTAAGTTTAACGCTCCAAATAGTCTATCTTTTCTTAAACGCGTTGTTAGATTATCTTGAACCGTTAACAATTCAGCTTACTACTCATTTCCTTGTATTGGTTAGGTTTCTTTGTGTTAAATTTTATAGACCAAACCCTAAATTCAAATCGAGAAAGACTGCTATAACTATCTATTGTATGAAAATACCTTATATTGCACAAACACGAAAAAATCAGGTTTTTCACGACTCTTGGAGTCGTTTTCCTGCAAACAAAAATATTCAGCCAGTTTTTGGCGGTGTAAATAAATAAATAAATAAATAAATAAATAAATATTATTGTAACATGTGTATTATTCCGTTAACAACGACAATTCCATTTTGAAAACATATTCTTCACTTTTCCATTGGATTTTTTTTTCGAAGTGATTTGATATCAGAATTAAACTTAATGAAAACCATTTGTTCCGTTTGTTTTTTTTTTCATCGGGTGTTGTGGTTGATGATGATGATGTTTCAAACGATGATTCAGATGTAGAGGTGTCAACGGACACGGACAAAAATTCGGACAATAGTGTCCGTCCGTCCGAAAACCGAAAAAAAAATTCGGACGTCCGGTCCGAATGTCCGAAAACCGGAATTTTTTTTCGGACGTCCGGTCCGAATGTCCGAAATCCAAAAAAAAATTTCGGACGTCCGGTCCGAATGTCCGAATTTTTTTTTTTTATTATTATTATTATTATTCTGCACCATACAGCGTTTCTTCGCCAGAGGTGGTTTATTTGGTATAAATATTTGGTTATATATTTACAATATTTATAATGAATTCGTATTTTCAGTCTCTCCAAGTTCTATTTCTTCTAAAATAATCAGTTATTCTTTGCTTGACAGTGTTTGTGCTAACATTAAAATCAATTAAATAAGTTTTATATATTTTTGGAATAGTACTAGTATCACAATCATTCGTTTGATTTGGCTCTATGATATTAAAGTATTTATAAAATTCATTATATGTGATGAGCATGTAGTTAATTGGCTCAAACATTGAGTAGTTGTAGATTCTGGTCGGCAGCTCTAGGAATTCGGTGTTCCGTGTTCGGAGTCGTGGTGTTCTTAAGTTAATTTTCTCCATAATATGCTTCGACGATGTTTGGCCACAGATAACATTGTGTATGAAGCAAATTTGTGCGATTTTTCTTCGTTCTTCCAAGGTAATCATTTGTAGAAATAGCAGACGATTGTTGTATTGTGGCAAAATGAATCTGTGTGGCCATTTCATTTTTCTCAGTGCAAACAGTAGAAATTGTTTTTGGACTGATTCGATTCTAGCGATTTTCTCATTGGTGTATGGGTTCCATATTTGCGATCCATATTCAATGATTGGCAATA